TATCTCCTGTGAATTCATTCAGAAGTTTATCCCTGTCTTTTAGCTCTTTGATTTGTTTATTCATGTGTTCTTTAAATTCGTTGAATTCCTTGATTATGTTTATGATTTTTCCTTTAAATTCAGTGTCCTGGGTTATCTTTAGGGGGTTCTCCTTGTAGAACTCTTCTACAGGATTGGTGGAGTTTGGTGGGGCCATAGTGTTTTGGCTTTCCATTTTATTATTATTTCGTTGTGATTTTGGCATGTGAATTTCTTTTGTTGTTTATGATTCTGATATGAAAATTAAGTTGAAGTATGCTTCTGTTTGTATTATTGGGGTGCTTAGAACCTTTCTTTATTGGTTATGTCAAGCTAGTTGGTACAGGGTTCAGGTTCTCTCAGGTTTAATTTGGAGGGTATTGATGTATTCAGGAGTACCTACAGAAGCCCAATTCAGGTTCCAGTCAGGTACACTCAGGCTTCCTTCACCACGTGGAGGCAGGATTGGGGGCTCTCAGGCAGTCCCCTGCATTCTCAGGCCCTTTGCCAGAGGGAGGCCAGAACTCGGCACTCTCTGGCGGTCAGCTATCAGAGCTGCTACACCGATGGAGGTTGAAACCTACTCTCTCAGGGAGTCTGCTAGGATCTCAGCTTTAGTCTACCAAAGCCAGATCTGCTCCTGGGCCTTGAGAGGGACTCACAAAATCCCAGGTATGGCAATGGGTGATGCAATTAGGGGAAGCTCACCACCACATAGAGGCAGGATCAGGAAGTGCCCTGTGTTCTCAGGCCCTCTGCTAGAGGGAGACCAGAACTCGGCACTCTCTGGAGGTCTGCTGAGATCAGAGCTGCTACACTGATCAAAACATATATTTCTTATATAAAAATGTTAATTCCATCTTCTTTTGGACTAGAATGGTTTGGGCTACATATAGTTTGGCAGTTATTTTAGATCAATACACCAAATGTATTATATTGATTATTTACTCCAATTCTTGCTGAGATATATTATCTGCCTAACTATAATGCCTTGGTTAATTTTCTTGTTTTTTGAGGCAGGGTCTTCTTGCAGCCTCAGCTGATGTGGAACTTGCTGTGTAGACCGGGTTGGCTTCGATCTCATAGACAGCCACCTGCCTCCCCTTCCCAAGAGCTGTGATGAAAGGTGTGCACCATCATGCCTGGCTTAGAAGTGTAGTATCTTCAAGAATGCTTTTCTGGCCATTTCTTACTCTCTGATACATTGAACTCTCTTGCTTTTGCATTCCTAGGGGTGTGCATAGTCACCATCTAGAAAACTTTCCTTCCTTCCTCTGTAGATATGTTCATCTTTTGTTAAATTGGAAAATTCTGTTTCCATACTATATTTGATCTTTCTCTCCCCACTTTCTGCCTTTTTCTCTCTCCCCTTTGAAACTTAGGCTTAATTCCCATTCATATCAATTCCACCACACTACAGTGAGATTATTCACACTCCCTACCTCTTTAAAAGTGGGTAAACAGGGTGGAGAGATGGGTCAGCAGTGAGATTATTCACACTCCCAACCTCTTTAAAAGTGGGTAAACAGGCTGGAGAGATGGGTCAGTGGTTAAGAACACTGTTAGTATTCTTGCAGAAGACCTGGGTTCAAATCCCGGAACCCACATGGCAGCTAACAACTGTAACTCCAGTTCCAGGGGATCCGACAGCCTCTTCTGTCCTCTGCGAGCACTGCACAACATGGGTGCACTTACCTACATGCAGGCAATACATCCATGCACATAAAATAAAAATAAAATATTTTTAAAAAAGTGTTTGCCATACATGGACTTAGCAAAGAAAGTAAAATAGATTCATCGCTAACTACTACAGAAAGGAACAAAGCTTGCATTTCAAGTTGTTTTCAGAAAAGGCTATTTTGTTTGCAGCAGTTGTGTTTTGTTGATATAGATGAGATTGGGTCTATGGTGCGGAAACACTGTGGAAGACTTCACCAAAGTCTTGTTTCCCCATTCTTTGGGAAAATCTGGCCAGAAAAACTCTTGTAGATGCAGGCAGTCACTACAGAGAAGACAGTAAAATACAGGTTCAGCCTCAGGGCTGGGCTTAAATGTCCACTTCTAGTACTTCACTTTATTGTATGAGCCTGTTCTGAACCTCTTTTAGCTTGGGCAGGGGAGTGTGGCAGATTTCCAATCATCAAATACAGAGGGATTCCTTAGTCCATGTACTGTGCAGCACATCACTGTGGCCAGCACCAGCTGGTGCAGCACAGGTGTCCTCTTCTACACTGACCAGGGCACAGGTGACACCAAGGGCCAGGTCCCCTCTGTGCCTTGTGCCTATGCCTTAGAGGGCATCTAAACCCCAAGCAAGGTCACCCCAGCAGTCAATCCCTGGTATTCATGACCCTAGGTTTGTGGTATGCATGTGTTTCCAACATGTATTCTAAATACTCAAAATTTCCATTTTTAATTTCCTTGTGATGTGTTTTGTCAAGCTATTAAATAGTGTCAAAATGAATATAAAGTTATTAAAAGATGAAATACAAATGGCCAACAAACATGAAAAAATGTAAAACCTCATTAGCCACCAGAGAAATGCAAATGAAAACTATGTTGATGTGGAAGAAGGGAGGAAGGGGTGGAGTGTGGTGGAACACTATCTTCCAAGCAAGAACTCACAGTAGCTGCGATTACCTGTACAATACCCACATCTATACAGAGACTGAGCTGTTATTCCATCATGGATAGGGGAGGGGCTCATGAAACTGGCCTTCCCTGTGGACTTCTAGGTAGTTAACGGTGCTAGGGAAGAGCGGGAATTTCTTTAGTGTTGAAGTTGTTAAGCTGTCCATGCTCCTGTAAATAACCCCTCATCCATTCTACTGTAATCAACTCTAATTAAAAGCATACACACACACACACACACACACATACACAAACACACACACACACACACACACACACACACACACACACACAC